GCTACAGTCAACTGAGAACTACCCCTACTAGACTGGTATGTGGGCAAGCCTATGGTACATTTTCTTGATTAAGGGCTGCCCATGATGGGTGGTGCCATCCCTGGGCAGGTGGTCCTGGTTGTTGTTAGAAAGCAAGTTGACCAATCCATACAGGGCAAGCCAGTAAGAAGCGTTTCTCCGTGGTATGCCTCCAGGTTCCTGCCTTGAGTTCCTGCCCTGACTTCCTTCAATGATGGGCTGTGATATGTAAGTGTAAGTGAAATAAACCCTTTCTTCCACAAGTTGCCTTTGGCCATGATCTTTTTTGTCATAGTAATAGAAACTCTAACCAAGACAATGAATATGTACATTATGAGTCTCCCAGAGGCAGGGAGAAGCTGCCATATTCCTACAGAACACTTTGTAAGACTATGGCTCTACAGACCATTCTGTGGGAGCATACAATGAGCTCCACCAAGCCTGATGATAGGCATGGAGGTCAGTCCCTCTCACCTCTGCCATCCCCACAGGGAGCATTTTCCTGGATCAGGCTGTGGTAGCTTCCCTTGTCACTTAGTACCCTGTTTGGGCAGCCTCCACTTACACATGGGCTCTCAGTGATCATGCATTGTTTACAACACCCTGACCTCCACCTCTAGATGGAACCAAGTTCCAGTTTTACATCCAATCTCCCATACATTCTCCTAACAATCCCAGGCACACTCTAAGCTCAGCATATCCTGAATGGAACTCACCATCCTCCCCTCAGATCTGCTTCTTACCATAGATAGCATCATATCTCCTGACCCACAATGAACCAAGGAGAAGCCCTAGGGACCATTTATGACTGTTTTACTTGAACCACTTATCTAGCTATACCCTGCTGAGTCTCACTTGCAGTGTTCCCCATTGCCCACTGATATATTTCAGATGTCTAGCTTGAATTGCCTGCTCTCACATCTACCTCCAAGCTTCCCCCCACAGTGATTGTTAGTAATTCTTCAAACCATACCTGTGACCCCATCACTGTCTGGCATGAAATCTATCCATAGATCTCTCTGTAGCTTCACAACCCTTCCTGACCCTTGTGTTTCTGTCCCCAGAGCCTCATACATATCTCTAACACACTATCTCATGATAAAGGATCTGAGAAGTCCTTCCAAGGACACAGGACTCCCAGGACAGACAGATACTTCCTGGAGCCTGGGCAAGTGGAGAAAATTGGGTCATTTGTTTGTAGTCCCTGTCTGCCCTTCTCCAGAAAAGTAGTGATGGTTCTGCCAATGCAATGATGGTTCAGGACCACGGAGAGCGTCACATGCTCAAACGCCCCCCTCCTCTTCCCCTGACCCCTTAGTTGGGTTCTGCCTATAAAGCCTTCCAGGCTAGCTTCTATAGCTGGTCCTTCACAAATCCAGGACAGGCTTGACTTCCTCATGGAAGCCTTCCCTGACCCACCTGGATGACCAATCATTTCCTCCTTGGGGCTATTTTGTAGCATTCATATTCCTCCATCATGCCAAACTCATTATTCTGATTATGTTTGTATGATTCCACCACCACTCCACCCCCAAAAGACATGAGCCTCAAGGGCTCATGCCCTGTCTGATTCATCTTCACTATCCAGTGCAGAGGAGTTGCTTAGAGAATGTTTGTTGATTGAATGAGCAAATGACATTTAGCAGGTGCAGGAAATATGTGTTGATTTGTATTGTATATCTGTTGATCTGGGTGACTCAGAAACAAGCCAGATTTCAGTCCTGCCGCCTGTAGAAAAGGCATTTTTTCCCCTAATGGCACCTCCCTCCATCCTTGGAGCAGCTTTCCTGCAGGTCACCACCTTAGCTGGGGAAAAGGCATCCTTACTCTGCTCTTGCTGTTACCACACCAGAGACTCACTGCAGTCTCCCCATCCCCCAGCTTGGCCTGCCACATGAGTTTCCCTGTGAACATTTCATCTCTGCTTCTCTCCTCCTCAGAACAGATGGCTCTGAATCCCTACTCATACAGAAGTTCCTGTTCCATCATTTGAACAGTTTCCCTCCCCCAACCCACCCAGACAGTTTCTCTGTGTAACCTTGACTGTCCTGGAACTTACTCTGTAGACTAGGATGGCTCTACTCAGAGATCTGCCTGACTCTGCTTCCCAAGTGCTAGGATTAAAGGTGTGTGCATCACTATATACATGGCTCGTTTGAACATTTTTAACACTTTCTAAATTATAGATGCTTCAGTCACCTTTGGTCATGGCCTGAGACCATCAGAAACAAAGAGTCTCTGGAAGGACATTGAGTGATGCCTCTTCCTCACCCTGTGGGGAGGCCAGTGGCCTGCCCCAAATCATTATAGTACATACTGCCACTGTTTGAGGAAGGGGGATGTTTTATTTTTTAACTTTCATTGTTTTGGCAAAGGGAATCAAACTTGGGATCTGCTAAGAAAGCACTGAGCTGCACCCCTGGTCATTTGGTTTTGATGATCAGAATTAATTCATTCCTCTTCCTAGCAGTTTTCATAGCTTCCTGGTCTTAATGGAGCCATGAATCAAGGCCCAGGCAGAGGATCCAAGCTAACCCAACTGACTCTTATGCTTATAGCATTAAATCTTGAGTAAGTGGGAAAAGAATAGGGAAAAATGTCTGGAGCTCTGAAAAGTTAAAAGACGAGGTAAAAAAAAAAAAAAACCTCTGGCTCTTAAACCTTCCTACCAATTCAGTGAGCTCTTCTTACACAGCCAATGAGTCCTTTGCCTCCTTAAGGTAGTCAGCCTGTCTCTGTTGCATGCAGCTCCATAGCCCAAACTGCTGTGGGCACCCAGAGGAGCAAGTACAAACCCATCCTCTTGGCATTGGGGTAAATCGAAGCTTCAACAAGCACCAGTGCTTCTTATCATACTCTCTGATAGAAGCTTTGTGAGCTTACTACCTCACAAGCTCACCCAGACACAGCAGGAAGTCACCCACTTAGGATTGGGACACCCTGGGCAATGGCTGGTTGCAAGGGAACAAGCCAGGGTCAAGGTACAGGAGCCTACATACATGCTCAACCCTCCAAACTGAAAGACACCAACCTACAGAACAAGCTGGCCTCATGGGCACACGCATAGGCATAGACACAGACAGACACATCTTTCTGTCAGGATGTCTCGTGGAAGCTGAGTCATTCACACATGAAGTGAGCAGGGTCAGGCTTGGGGACTCATCTTGCTGAATAGTATTTTCACTGCTGTTGACATTCCCAACAAACAAGTCCAGAGTGTCAATAACCAGGATTACTCAACAAGCGCCCTTGGGTGATGAAGGTGTATTCTGTTTATTATTCTCCTTTACTCTTCGTAGTGGGGCACTGGGGGCAGGGAGGAGGTAGGACCCGAGGGAAGCTGAGGCCTAGTGTGACTGTAGATGAGGTGTGGCCTTCTCCTCCCAAGGCCCCTCAGTCTCAGAACTCTGGCATTCCCCAAACTCATCCAGAAAATAATATCATGTAAATCCCTGGCTGAGCATTGCATCCTCGTTGAGTCCTGGGAACTCAAGCTTCAGAATGTACTAGAAGATGTGACCCCAGACTGTGGATGAAAGCTACAGAGCTGTGGCAGGCAATTGAGGCCCCATTCCCAGCCAATCCTGCCACCTCTTCTCACCAGCAGCGTGCACCCCTCCTCTCTGGCCACTCTATACCCTTCCATGACTCACCATGTGCTTCCTGACCCATCCCCTCTACCCCAGTTCTGTTCCCCCTGCCTACGGTTCCTTTCCTCCATATCTCTTGTCCTTACTGGTCCCAAAGCCACCTCTAGACTGTTTCTGAGCCATGTGACCCCCTTTTTTTCATAGGAAATATGTCTCCCTTGACTTAGTCCATGTATTTCCTGTCCTGCTTTTGGCTGTGAGGTCTGAGGAGAGTCTGGAGTCTAATTTATTGCCCCATGCCTTGATGGGACCTACTGATATCCATCAATGCTTACAGACTTAGCACAAATGATGTGTCTGGCCTCCCTCCCCAGCCACTGGACTCTGCCCATTGTCTGGAAGCTGAGCTTCACAGAAGCATAGGTGCTAGGTTCTGACCCTGGAGCTAGCCTGTGAGAATCACATGGAACCTGGGCTAGGAATCTGCATTTGGTGCCTCTCAAACAGAGCTGTGGAATTTGCAGCTGAAAGGCTGGAGGTGACCCTCATCCTCCAGTCAGTGAGCATCAAGAACAGCGAGGCTGCCTCTTTCTCAGAGTCAAACTCTCCACACCAGTCTGTTTCCTTGGAGTTTCAGGGTGGTTGTGTCACTTAAGCTCCAGATGATGCCAACTCATGAAATGGGGGCTTTTGTCCTGGAGATGCCAGCACCTGAGGAGAGCTGAGCCTGGGGGCTGATGTAGGCTGAGCTAATGAACCTAAGTCCAGGAGCCTGTCACAGCCAACTAGGGACAAGGAGAAGCCTTAAGAGGCAGGATAAGAATATGAGGGCAAGGAGCTGTGTGGGCCTCTGCTCTGCCCACAAATGCTGGGAGGCAGGCACAGCCTGGCACAGCAGAGGTGGCAATGAGTGAGTGAGTGATTGCCTGGCTGGGCTCCGGGGGAGGGGACAGAAGCTGGGGTCATAGGCGGAAAGAACATGCCTCCCTGCTGCTGCCCGCCTGGAAGCTGTTGATCTCCTGCAGGGCCCGCTGAGACCAGCTGCTCAGAACCCAGTGCCAAGCATGGGTCCTACAGAGCCAGCCCTCCCCATGGAGATGCTGGGGTCAAAGCATAGGCTGGAGAGAAGGAGGGCTACTTCCAGGAGTATGTGTGAACAGTCATGTGAACTGCTCTGCGTGTGGCTCCAAGGCAGCTGTCTCTGCAATTTGCATTTTGCACGGGCTTGAGTGGGGTCACACCCCCACACTAGCAGCCACAGGAAACCCACCTCCAAGACTTCCTCTCAGTCAGAGGATGAATTCTCACAGAGGGATACCCCTGCTCCCCTTGCCTTTGCCAACAGGAGAAACTGAGTCAAATTGAGGGGCTCATGGTGGAGATGCCCAGACACCAAAGCCAAGCAACTTCCTCAGGGTCCCTGTTGTAGAGGCCACCGTGAATCCTAGGCCTGGCCTGCCATCCCCCTTCCTGCAGAGACTTCACAAGGCTATAAATAACAAGATGGGTCTAAGAATCCCTGAAATCCCAAGGCTTTGCACTGGTCATGATTTAATAAGGGCCTGGCCTCCCTGCTGGGTGCAGACACCGGGCCCAGCCTCCTTGGAGGGTGGTAACAACTCAATCTAGCCAGCTCCTGGGTCCTGGCAGCTCTCTAGTAGAAATTGAACAAGTGACAAGTAGCTTAGCTGGGGTCCCTGAGTCACAGCCAGGATGGGTGGGGCCACCAAAAGGATGTGGGTAGGATGGAGCCTGCTCACTGTAAGATGGGCTTAGGGCTCTTCTGCTGGAGTGCTGGTGCTGGAGAGCAGACCTTGGTGCTCAGTGTTCCTGCTGGTTGCATCCTTGCTCTCCAGAGTTCCTGTGGGAGGCAGAAGAAGCTTGGATACCAGGCCTGGGGACAAATCCTTGAGGTTCAGTTTACATAATAAATCCCAAACCAGACCCTTCACTCCTGACCCTGTGGCACAGAGCATTGTGTGATCTTCCTGGCCCACTCTGACACTCTGAGTTCTGTTCTCAATACAGGAAGCCCGGGGATGCCCTCACAAAGCAGATCAAGCCCTTAGTAACCCTGAAAACCCTGTAGGAGCTCCCATCTCGCTCTCAGTGAAGGCCACTGTCCTTTGAAGGATTCCCTCTCATCTGCTTCTCTCATTCCCTCACTGTCCTCCTTCACTCCTGCCATAGTAGCACTGGCCACCTTATCAGTCCTCAACACTTCAGGCACATTAACACCACAGGACCTTTGCACTAGCTGTCCTTGCCTCTTGGAGCCCCTACCAACTGGTAGCTGCTTGGCTCACCTCCCTTTTCCTCTTTGCTCTTACACTCCAATGTCACCTGTACAAAATGAGGACCACATTATCTGTCCTTGTCAATCCCTTTCCCTGTCTTTTGTCTCTATAGCACTTACATCAAACCTTTTCTCTCTCCCTTTTTTCCATTTCTGGTCTTTCTCTTGCCACTAGAGCATTAGCTCCATGAGGGCTCAGACTTGGCCTAATTCTGTCTTTCTCCAGCATCTGCTACCTTGCATGGCACATGGTAGGGACATAATAAATTCTCTGAAATATGCCAGGCAGTGGTGGCACATGCCGTTAATCCCAGCACTTGGGAGGCAGAGGCAGGCAGATCTCCGTGAGTTCAAGGCCAGCCTGGTCTACAGAGTGAATGCCAGGACAGGCTCCAAAGAGAAACCCTGTCTTGAAAAACAAAAGCAAACAAATTCTCTGAAATAAGCAATCCAAAAGCATAGGCAGTTGCCAGTGTACCAGGCCCAGAAGTGTTCAACCTAGAGCCTGACAGAGCACAAGGGTTAGAAGTACCTTTGCCAGACTGCCTGGCCTGGGCCTGGTCTCTCTCCAGGTGCAGTGCAGTCAGTAGGAAGCAGCCACCACCCAGCACGATGGCAAAGGCACAGCACAGGAAGCTGTGTTGCAGGCTGAGGAAGCGCTGCAGATAGGAGTTTGGACGCCCAGTCTGCAGGACACTGGAGATCTGCCAAGAAGAGAAGGATGTTTGTGAGGCCCACCAGGGGGCTCCAGGACCTTAGCAAGAACAGCACCTTTCCAAGTAACCCCCTCCCACCCCCACAGCACACATTCAGACACTTCTTACAAGTCCAGTGAGGTAGGGGCTGCCAGCATCTCCCAGGATGTGGGCCACTGTGATCTGAAGCGCCTCTGCTGTGCCCCGGCACCTAGGCACCACTACCGACTGCAAAACACAGGAGTCCCAGAGGTAAGCCTCCAGCAAGGAAGAAAGGGCACCCCTCACCCCATCCTCCTGTTCCTATCTTTGCAGAGGGTAGCAGGCTAGACAAGTAAGAGGATGGATAGGAGGGAATCACTGACTTCTGAGACCTGAGCCCCACTCCAAGACTCAGGCCCCTTGGAGCACCAGAGGCCTCCCCACGACAGGAATAGTAGGCAGGGAGGCGGGGGGAGGAGCACAGCACTGAACAGAGACACAGAGTTTATACTTGAGCTGGGCCCGTATAGCTGTGACCACAGTGGTAGGACAGTATCTCAGCTTAGGGCTCCAGACATCAGTGCAAGCAGATGTGACCAGTGTGGTGCAATGGAGCCAGGGCGGCTCCCTCACATGGCTCCATGCAAGAAGGGAAGGACATCAAGAATGTGACTTCTGGAGTCAGACAGTCTGGGGTCCACTCCCAATCCCTACCCATTAGCTGTGCGTCTTTGGGCAAGTCGCTTCAGCTTTTCCTGTCTCCTCTCCAAATGGGATAATGATAGTGCCCCCCTTGAGAGCTATGCGCAGTGTCATTCAGCTTACGCTCAGAGCTTCACAGGGACATGTCCTGCTAACAGAATGCTCTGGGCATGTGTGCCTCCTGCCTCGCAGGCCTTCTCCCCTGGACCTACTAGGGAAGCACTACTTATCACTTAGGACTTAACCCTATTCACCTCCTCTGTGAAGCCCTCTCAGGTTCTATAATTCACCTCCTCTGTGAATCCCTCTCAGGTTCTACACACACACACACACACACACACACACACACAGAGGCACCACAGTTAAATGAATGTATGCTCTCTGGAAGTAGGAAGGGGCCTTTCTTCAGGCATTTCCTTATCTCTCATACTGTATTCATAACAAAGCCACTAATTTCTCCTGTGTCCCTGGAGTGCCATAATACATAAGGAAAAGGGGGTGGGTGCTAGTGAAAAATCTGCTGACCAAGTAAGACATATAGAACATTCTGGAAGACTAGTCTCAGGAGAAAACCTGCCAGCTCAGAGCTACTCCCCACTGTGACAGTCACAGAGGAAAATGCTGCTCTGAAGTCTTGTCTCCAGGACCTCAGTGTCTATTATCTGAACCCATCTGAAAATAATAATAATAATAATAATAATAATAATAGCTAGCATTTAATGATTGCTTCCTGCATGTGTTCTTATATATCAACCCCAACAAGTCATGAAGGTGATATTTCCCACATTTTATAGATGGGAAAGCCTTTACAGAGCAGGTAATTAAATTGCCCAGAGTAGCCCAGCCAGGAAGTAATGTGTCCAGACTGGATGGCAGACCTTCCTCTCCAAGGACTTGTCTCCTGATCCTGTACTGTTAGCTGGCCATTTCAGCCATGTTAATGTAGTCATTACACAGCATTTAAAAGGTGGACAGTAAAACTAAGAATACAGAGGCTGTAAGGAAGCAATGAGCTAAAACCTGTACCTTGTTCCTGAGGAGGTGACATCCAATCCCCACCAGTCCTGCCTCAGGACACTGCCCTCTCCACAAGGGAGAAGCCATGGTAGCTTACACCTTTAATCCCAACAGTCAGGAGGCACAGTCAGGTGGATGTCTATAAGTTGGAGGCCAGTCTGGTCTACACAGAGTTCCAGGCTAACCAGGGCTATACACTGAGACCTGTGGAGAGAGTGGAGAAGTTGGGAGAGGAAGGGAGGGAAGGTTGGCAAGAAAGAAAGAAGGCAAAGAAGGCCGTGAGCTGATGAGAATTTCCATTGTGAATAGGTATATACACAAATGTGGAAATAACCCCACATACACAAGAAGAAGAAGAAGAAGAAGAAGAAGAAGAAGAAGAAGAAGAAGAAGAAGAAGAAGAAGAAGAAGAAGAAGAAGAAGAAGAAGAAGAAGGCAGGCTTCTTAGTGGTCTTACCTATGGGCAGGAGAACCAGTGTATGACAAAGAGGGGTTAAAGGGGACATAGGAAGGAAGGAACCCAAAAATATGATTCTGGATTCCAAGATATTCCAAGATATCTACTCTAGATAGCAGACATAGGAGGTCTTCTGGAAAGGGGCTCGTGGGTGGGCAAGGCTGAGCTGGGAGTCACTGTGGGCAGTCAGATGGTTTAGGATCACTGGGGCCAAGGTTCCCTCCCCAGGTGGTTAGAGAAGCTGGGCCTCCTGCCATCTCCAGGACATGCCAGCACTGTAGAAGGAACTGACCACAGCTCTGCACCTTCCCAGGACTTCCTTCTCACCCCATAACTATGTGATTAGTCACTGCTGGTTCTGGGGAGCTGGCCCAGCTTCCTAAATAGAGGCCTCAAGTATCCATACAGTTCCATGTGGGGCCGAGCTGCTCAGACCCTCAGAGTAAGATCCCTGAAAACTCTGTATCTTCTCAGTATGGGGGCATAGGTCCCACTTCCTTGCTTCTTCTGGGTGTCCATTCCTTTCTAAAAAGCAGGCCTAACAGGATCTGGCAAGCTGGGGGTGAGTAATTTTGAAAATGAGTGGCTTTTGGGTTTCCAACATTCCAGGTTCACTAGCTTCTGAGACAAAAACACCTGTGTTTTGGCTCGCCCTTCTCAGGAAAGCAGTTCCCTTTATAGCCCAGGGCAAGAGTGGTACAGGCAGCCACCACCTGGCAGAAAGCTGAAGAGACAATCACTAAGAACAGATTCCTGGCAGCCTGCCTTATGCACTCCCCAACTCAGCCCCTGTGACCAGACACTCCTGAAGGGTGATACAGTCACTCCTCAAACATCCTTCTGCTCACAGCTGGGAGGAAGAGAGAGCCACTGAGGACCAGCCTTGGTGGGGCAGCCAGAGGCTCCTGAAGCAGATTTAGAGAGATACTTTTTTGAAAAGATCATCCAAGGCACAACCAACCCAGGAGGAGATATATGTAGGGAGTGTGTGTAGAGATTGGGCTCCCGTGAGTATGGGTGAACTCAGATAGATAATAAGAAATTTGCAAGGAACCTGTAGGCTGGAGAGATGACTATGCAAACCCAGAAGTTGTGCTAAAGACTACTGGGTTAGGCCTCTGTGTGAAGTCTGCTGGCAACACAGTTCCTGTACCCACTCTTCACCCACCCAATCAGATGCTGAGAGTCCACAATCAGTGACAAGCTCCTCCAAGCTTGACTCAGGCAGAACGAAGTGTGGGAGCCATTGGAGCAGGCAGCCCTTGAAACCTCTGGTCTACAAGGAGCCTGGATTCTCCCTTGTGGAGAGGGCAGTGTCCTGAGGCAGGACTGGTGGGGATTGGATGTCACCTCCTCAGGAACAAGGTACAGGTTTTAGCTCATTGCTTCCTTACAGCCTGGAGCACCATCGGTAGGAACTACTCTCCATTATACCTTTGAACTAACTAAGGCACAGAGAGGTCACATGAGTTGGCCAAGATTTCTCAGCTAGTGAGTGGCAGAGATGGGCATGAAACTCCTGACGGAGTTCTCCTGTCCATCCTTTCCCCTCTCACCCGTCCTCAGGTTCCAGCTCCCCAGGAAGCAACAGTCTCTCTACCCTGTTTTCCTATTAGATCCTCTTGGTTCTCTCTCAACTGAGAGCTGTCCATCCAAATAGCTCCCACTACAATACTCTCACAGCAGCCAAAAGAGAAGCTCACCTTCCTGATTAGGAGCAAGAGAAGTACAGGGACCCTTCCTCTATTTCCTGCACAACCTATCCCCACATAAGTCTTTCCTCTGCCCTGCTTCCTCCAAGGGACCTCATTCTCCACATTTGTCCCCTCCCTGTTGCTTGCCAATTGACTTTCTAGCATCTTCTGCCATGTCTGCATATAGTACATGTGGTAGTTTGAATGTAATTGACCCCCATAATATCACAGGGAGTGGCACCATTAGGAGGTGGGGCTTTGTTGGAGTGGGTATGGCCTTGTTGAAGGAAATGTGTCACTGTGCGGGTGGGCTTTGAGGTTTCTTATGCTCAGAATACCAGCCAGTGTGTCAGTTGACTTCCTATTGCCTGCAAGATGTAGGACTCTCAGTTTTAGCACCATGTTTGCCTGCATACTGCCATGCTCCCCATCATGATGGTAATGGACTGAACCTCTGAAGCTATAAGCAAGCCACCCCAATTAAATGTTTTATTTATGAGAGTTGCCATGGTCATGGTGTCTCTTCACAGCAGCAAAAACCCTAAGACAGTACTCTTGTAAACCTGCACCTCTCTACTTTACAGGGAGCCTCTTATAGGTCCTGAGACCATGCCCTCCTGAGCCCTGTCCTGTTTTTCTGCCATGGAGCTAGAAACACAGGAGCTGAAAAGGCTGAACTCCCACCTCAACCCTGTCTAGTACAGAAAGATCATTGCTAGCTACTGGGCTTAGGGCAGGAGAGAGGCAGGGAAGACAGCATGGAGCTGGCTAGAGCAGAAGCCTCCAAGCCATGATGGGCTCAGAGAGTTGTAGGCTGGGCTGCATGTGGTCAGCCAGCTCCCCCACAGTCTGGATTCTAACTGGCCCCCAGAACCACCATCTACCTCCTTCACAGCTGTGAACACACTCTTCTTTAACAGTGCAAAGTGCCTGGCTCTGGCAGGTTAATGATAATAGCAGACACAGACATAGGGATGCCCTGTAGCCTTCACATATCTTCTGGGCTGTCATGTGGAAAAGAGATCACAGTGGGGGGCAAGTGGAGGAAGCTGTTGGGGGCAGGTTCAGCACTGCTTGAACCGCCTGAGAGAGGATGAGCTATGTAGAGGGTGGGTATTCCCCTAGGCTGTCTCATTTACCCCACTAGGCAGTTAATGATTAGAACTTTTTATAGGCAAGGAAACTGAGTCCCGGGGCCACTTGTCAGGTCTGTGGCTGCATCTGGGCTGGAGCCCAGGTCTCTGGTGCAGAGGGAGGAGCAGGGAAGACAACTATCTCGGCAGCTGATATGCTCACTAGAGCCAAAGACAGGGGTGAGCCTGGGCTACAGCAGGTAGTGAGCATCCTGTTAACTTAGTGTTCAAACAGACCTTGTTGTCTGATTAAGTGACACATATGCCCATAGTCCTTCCAAACCCAGATTCTATGACTTCAAGACATTTTTGGGAGATAGAAGAACCGTGGAAATATCAGGGTCACAATGAGAATCCTACCCATCAAACCCTGTGTCAGATACTGGGATAAACTTTCTATGAGTCATCTCCCTCCCTTCCCCATGCTCAAAACAATGGTACTACCATTCCACTCCCATTTTCCTTATGGGGAACCTGAAGCTCAGAGATACAAAGCAACTCACAGCTAGTGAGTGACAGAAGAAGGCTGAACCAAACAGCTTTCTTCCCCTGGCTTGGTCATCCAGAACCTTACGCCCAAGTGCAAGACTGTGCCAGTCTTCCAGGAGGCAGCAGGAGGGCACCCAGGGTGTTCCTAGACCTAGGAACCCTGGGGTCAGACTTTCACCATGTCCAAAGTCCTTGTGCCTCCTCAGAGGAGGCAGAAAGGCTGAAAACAGGGTAGAGCTGAGGGAGGATCAGGCTGGACTCTGGACACCAAAGCCATGTGGTGGAACAGCATTAGGTCTCCCCATAGCCCCACTCAGCCCTTTGTGTGGGATTATCCAGGGTCCCTCTCTTGTGGCCCTAGAGCACAGGCCAAGGAGCCCACTTGCTGAGAAGTAGTGTGATGAAGAAGGAAAGAAATCCTATGTGCCATTCCTAGCTCAGAGCCTTGACACCCTGTGACCTTGGTCCAGGCAACTGCCCTCTCTGAGCTTCCATGTTCATGTACAGAATAGAGATGACAGAGGAAACATTTGAGAGTGTTCGAAAGGGGGCACTTTGTCTATGGAAACTGTGATGTGCCCTTAACCCCCTGCCCCATGGCCCCTGAAGTCCTTCCCAATACCCAGACTATTCAAAAGTGCCAGGACCAAATTACAACCCATACCTACCAACAGGACGTCAGCAACCACTGCCCAGTTGCAAGACAGAAGGAGCTCGCCGAGGGCCAGGAACACCTGTGGACAGAGGATGTCCGGGATGAGACTGCCCCCACCTCAGGCACCTACCCCTCCCAAGTCTCTCCTCAGTTGTGCAGAAGGGAAACTGAGGCTCCCCAGAGGAAGGCATATGGAGACAGATAGGTGGGAGGGGTCTTGAACTTCAGATCCCAGGATGGATAGGCACTGAGAGCCCCAAGATGAGTACCAGCTTCCAGGTCTGACAACCCTGGCTCATGGCCCCCAAGACCCAGCCCTTGAGGGTCACCCATGAAGCCCCAGAAGGAGGAGGCAACAGGGCTGCTGAAGCATTTCCAAATGTGTAGACTCAGGACAAGAAGGGCAAGGTCTCGGCTTGCCCATCTCTGTTTTCTCCTGAGAACTGCATACAACAGTAAGGCCCTGCAGACTTCTCCAATGGCTTCTCCTAGGCACCTTCCCCAGACTCTCCCAGAGCTAGCTTTAGTACAGCCATTGTGTAGACAAAGGTAATTCCTATCCAAGGCCAAGGTTTTTCTCAGGTCATAGCTGGCCCAGGGCAAAGCCAACCTGAAACACAAGGCTTCAGGTCCCTGTCCAGTGCCCACCCCCGCCTTGGTCCATGTATTCTTTGTTGCTGGCCCAGTCTTATCCAGCTTTCTGAACCATGCTACCTCGTGCCAGGGGATTAGGACAATCCTCATTCCCCTCACTCAAGAAAAGCTTAATGAAGCAACTGAAGAAAGAGGAGTAAAGGTTCACTTCTCCCAGCTCCAGAGAGCTCATGCCAGGGTGGAATTAGTCATTCCTGGAGTCACGGGTTATGCCCAAAGCAGCACAGGCTTGAGAACTCAATGGCTTGATTTCCCAAAGGCAAAGAAATGAAAAACCACCACCAGAAAGGACACTTATATGCCAGAGGTCACCACTCCATCAGCCCCTCTCAGGTCAGGTAATTTGGTAAGGTTATCCTCATACCCATGTCACAGGTCAGGGCACCCAGCCCTAAGGGCCACTTTCCAGAGAGACACTCTCCTCTGTGTCTGGCTTGTCGATGGTGAGATTGGGAAAGCCTTTGGCCTAAAAGAACTCCCAGGGGCCTCCAAGGGTTACCGTGCCTTTAAAGACTGGTGGGAAGAATCTGATGGAGAGGGGGCACTGGGCAGAGGTGAACCTGGCAGATATTGGGGCAGTCAGGATGGGCTAGAAAGAACATCAGGAACCCAAGGGGGTAGAGTCCCACAAACAATGCCTGGCAGACAACCCCTGTGAGTAGGGACAAGAGACTGGAATGTGCCACCACACTGGGTGGGACAGGAGAATAACCCGATCTGGTGAAGGAAGAGTAGAACAGAGACTAAGCGGCTCTTGTGATCTCTCAGCCCAACCCAGCTGCCTGTGGCTGCTGCTTTTGGCCCTTGGTACCTAAACTGGGAGGCCCTTGAGGTCAGGGTGGGTCTCCTTCTAGGCTTAAGACAAAGTTTGAGCACCCACAGTAGTGGGAAGCAGGAAGTCACTGGTGGGCAGGACTCGGGTGAGGCCCAGGCAGCCACAGCCCTGCATTCCATCTTGGCAGGGCCTGTCAGCCCAGATTCTGAACCACATAAAAGGCTGGCCCAGTGCACCTGTCCTCCCTATGGTGTCCTGTCATCAGTCCACCTTTACCTGAGCCAGAACCCTCTCCCCTCCACGTACGTCATTCAGCCTGCCTCAGTCCTCTCTTCCTCCATACCAGTTGGACACACACTGCCTGGGGGGCAAACGCTCCTGTGTGGTATCACCCCTGCCCTCTCCACACCCACAGGACATGCTGAAATATACCTTTTCCTTCTTCCAGCTGGACTAGGGTGGATCCTGGTCCCAAAATAGAGCCCCTTAGAGGGAGACTACAGCCACAATGGGGCCTTTCAAGATGAGCAAGCTGCCTAGGGGTGCCAGGTTTCCTCAGACACACCTGGAAACAGGCACCATGCCACCAAATCCATCACTCTACTTGCGGCTTCGAGGGGCAGAGGGCCAGTGGAGACAGCCTGCTTTCTAATCCCATAATTACAGAGGCTGTTGAGGTAGTGGAAGCTTAGCCTTCTGGGCTCAAGGAGTGGCATTGTCACAAAGGGTGGGACACCTACTGGGAGACCTTGGTCCCCCAGCACCCACTTCTGGGCCTTGGTTTCCCTCACTGTACAGTAATGTGGGGGAGCCTAGACAGGCACCGACATAGTGTGTTTCTGCAGCTAAAAACCTAGTTACACACCCTGTGGTCCCCATAGGCAGGGTATAAGTCCAGTTTTCATTCAATTACTTCCATGATAGAGTCAGACTTAGCTTCAAATTAAACAAACAAAGAAAAAAAAACAAAACAAAAAAAATAAGCAAACAGAGCCAGCCATGGTGGTGTATACCTGTAACCCCAGCACATATCTGTAACCTTGGCCATGGTGGTTCATGTCTGTAATCCCACCTGTGGTGATGCATGCCTGTAAATTCAGCATATACCTGTAACTTGCCATGGTGGCACATGCCTATAACCTTGGCCATAGTGGTGTATACCTGTAACCTCAGCTATGCTGGTATATGCCTGTAACCTCAGCACATATCTGTAACCTCAGCCATGATGGTGTATGCCTGTAAACTCAGCACATTTTCTCCAGGCCAGCCTGGGCTATGTAGCAAGATCCTGTATTTAAAAAAGAAGCAAAAGAAAAGAAGAAGCAGCGGGATGGCTCATCAGGTAAACACACTTGCTACCAGTCTTAGGATCATAGGCTTGGGAACTAGGCTCCACATGGTAAAAGAATAGAACTGACTCATATTGTGGTACACACACACACACACACACACACACACACACACACACACACACACCAATACAGTAAATAAACAAATGTTTTTGTTTTTTTCAAATCTCCAGTTTTGAAGAATTTGGTCAGCTGCTCATTTCTCAGGTCCAAGTCCCTCTTGGACAGTCATATACACCTCACATTGACATGTCCCCTAACTTGTTTCCCCTCAGTCCCTCCCCATCACTGTTCCTGCCCAGTGTGGTTGAGCCAGTCAGGATGTAGGCACAGACCAGCTCCCAGCTCCCAGCAGCTGCCAAGATGCTTCCCCTTAGGTTCAGGGAGGCAGGCAGATCCCAGTGCCGGCTGAGCCTACTTGACTCTTCATTCTGTATCCTAGATGCTCCCTCTGTGATGATGGCTTGATCCAGGCATCTCCAGTTTCTCAGGCCCTATCATCTCCCTCAACACCCGCCCAGAGGGGACTTCCAAAGGGGAAATCTGATTCTGCCTTTGGCTCCTCCTCAAGGATTGGTGGCTTCCCTGTGCCCTGACTTAGTTCCTGATGGATATGAGGGCCTGGGAACACTGCCTGAGGCCTGAGAATGGACTGTGCTGGAGAACCCCTGACCTCTGACCTTTCATCCTCGAGCCAGTGACAACTGCTATGTTTGGCTTTAGTCATCTTAGTCAGAGAAGCTTGCATACATACCCATTTTCATACTGTCACCCCCACACACATAACACACATGCATACAACAACATAAACATAGATTCTTGCACATACAACTACATGTATGCAAGGCCACATATAAGCACATGCACACACAGTCGAAACCTGAAATACACACACAACACTCACATGTCAATATACACACATATGCAGGTAACAGAAGGCATATGCAAAATATCAAAAACAGATGTGATACCAGGTATGGAATGATCCCTGTAAGTTCCAGCTACTTGGGAGGTTGAGGCAGGTAATCACTTGAGTCCAAGAATTTGAGCCAGTCTGGTCAACATGGTAAGACTCTCAGAAACAAAAACCAAACTACACAACAAATGCATGAATTTGGTCCTAGTTTATTTAGAGGCTGATCACTAG